CCTAGGTTAGAAGGCATTCACATATGCAGTGGCTTCCACAATGGACTCAAATTTACCAACAACTGAGAAGATGATACAGGACTGGGCAATACTTTGTAATGTTGTACACAGAGTTATCATGAGTTGGAGACAATCTGATAGCAGCTAACAACATCTTTATTTGGAGGTCTACTCCCTCCTCCAACATTTCCTAACTTGACATCTGGTAAAATAGAATGTAGTTTAGCAATCAAAAAAATAAACAAAAAACCAGACCTGACACTTTTCTGTTAAAAGTTTATTAAAAACATCAAAGTTGTGTTGAAGATGAGGATTAACAGGTATTAGGGAGACTTGTAAAACAAAGTACAATTATTTGCACATTTCAAGTAAACTAGAAAGTACAAAACCGTAAAATGTTAACATGTGAGGAAAGCATTAACAGTCCATTCAGTGATTTACCATATAAAGATTTTTTTTAAAAAAAGTTGTCCAGTTAAAGGCATTGCATTTAAAAGTTTAATACAAATGAAATTTCACCATAATCTCACACGAAGCAGAGGCTTTCACTCAAGTAAGTTAAAAACTCTGGTTACCCAAACCCACTGCCACTGAGTCAATTCCACTCATAGTGATCCTATAGAACAGAAGAGAATGGCTCCAAAGGGCTCCCAAGGTTGAACTCTTTACAGAAGCAGACTGCCTCATCTTTCTCCCACAGAGCAGCTGGTGGGTTCATACCTCTGATCTTTTGGTTTGCCACCAAATGCTTTAACCACCGTGCCAGCAGGACTCCCTTCTCTTTGGTTAAAAAAACAAACCAAACTCACTACCACTGAGTTGATTCCCACTTATAGTGACCCTCTTTGGGTTTCCGAGGTGGTAAATCTTTACAGAAATAGATTACCCAGTCTTCCTTCTGTAGAGTGGCTGATGGGTTTGAACCGCCAACCTTCTTGTTTGCAGTCAAATGCCCTAGGCACTACACCCCAGCGCTCCTTATTTTGTTACTTGAAAAACAAAAAAAACTCACTGCCATTGAGTCGATTCCGACTCATAACGACCCCTTTGGGAGCTCTGGTAGCATAGTGGCTAAGGCACTTGACTGCTAACCAGAAGTCTGGCGGTTCAAACCCACCAGCCACTCCTCGGAAAGAAGATGGGGCTATCTACTTCCATAATGATACTGCCTTGGAAACCCAAGGAGGGGTCGCTATGAGTCGGGTCCGACTTGACGGCACATAACAACAACAACAACAATGACCCCTTTGGGTTTCCAAGGCAGTAAGGAAGTAGATTGCCCAGTATTCCTTCTACAGAGTGGCTGGTGGTTTTGAACTGCCAACCTTCTGGTTAGCAGTCAAATGCCTTAGATACTACACCATCAGAGCTCCTTACTCTTTGGTTAGGAATATTGAAAACACAAGTATACATTGACGAGTAATTAATTTGCTAATGCTAAGTCATTAGTGTAATTCAAAAGCATATGAAATCACACAAGAGGAACAAAGTGATCTCTGCCCACAGTATAGTATAAATCCATACACATATCATCTCATCTAAAATCTATACAACTCCCCCCTGACCCACCCATTTACTCTCAATCCCTCTGCAATTAGTCTTGTAGTTTTTCCTTTATTAATAACAAAAATCCCCAAAGCACCTAAATAATTAGCTTATGTTTCACTTGTCCTATATAATGAAAATGCTTGATTGCATTTATAAAAAGGAAAAGAGCAATGAAGTGGATAATACAAAAAATGTTGAGTCAAAAAATCTGTCAAACTTTTGCTTATATAATATGCAGTTCTTCCTCCTCTTATGTTTTATTTCTTTCTTTTCATTAAGCAGATATTATACCCATTCCTTGAGCACACAGAAGGTTGCCTAGACATGTGCTAGATTAAAAGGAAAAGTCAGCCTAGTACTCAAAACTGCCCTGGACTATACACCAAGATCTGACTACCCAAAATGTAGCTCATGGCAAATAGAAAAGTTGGAGGTTGGGGAGGTGTGGTGTCCTCTTGACTGGTGTGGAAAATTGGGGAAGGAATGGATGATTCACAGGGAGACCTTGCTAACTGAAGGGTTCCAGTTCAGAGTTGCACCTTTCCATTTTCATTCATTTTTCAATGTACAAACCACTCTAGATCTTTTATCCCCTGTTCCCCAGCAAGAGGAACAGTATTAGTTGGTTCCCTCCTTTAGGAAAATAAATAAGAAGCTCCTGGATGTGGCATCATGTCCAGCTGTTGGGAGCTCACATCATATGTTATATTTAAACTGCAAGGCATCATTCTAAGTTTGCTTAAAATGATTGTTTTAGATGATGAACAAAAGTCCAGTAATTAAATAACAAAAAAAAAAAAAAAAAACAGGCTGCAGTTGGCATTAACAAATAACACTCACTGATTTTTGTTATCTTTAAGCAACAAAATATGACCTGCAGTTATTCAAATAGGGTGGAATTTTCTGCTTATGTACACTTCTTAACAATGAGCCCTGGTGGTACAACTGTTAAGTGCTTGGCTCTTAACTGAAAGGTCAGTGTTTCCTCAGGACAAAGACCTGGTGATCTGCTTCCATAAAGATTACAGCCAAGAATACCCTATGGGGCAGTTCTACTTTGTCACATGGGGCTGCTATGATTCAGAATTGACTCGATGGTACTCAACAATAACAACACTTCCTAACAGTTATTTACATGTCAATTGGGCACCCACTAAGAGCAAGGCACTGTGAGGGGGAAAACAACAGGACTCCTCACCTCAAGGAGCTCAGTCTGAGATAAAGAAGAACCCATATGACCACAGCGTGAGGCAGAGGTGCTGACTGCTATGGGATTGAGTGGTGGCAGTACAGAGATGTGGTTCAGAATGAGCTCTCCAGCCACGAAGACCAGTAAGTTTGGTACCTTTGAACTACATAACTTCACTTCACTAAGCTTCACTTTCATCAGTTGCAAAATAGCATCTTGTGAATAGGGTTTCTGTAAGAATTTTAAATAAATGTACAAGTGAAACACTGAGCATGGTGCCAGCATGAGGGAGAGGTCAAACCGCATATAATTACCATGATTATGGCTGTATACAGACTACTACTGGAAAGGGTTATTCATTATTTGGAGCGTGATTTTCTAGAGCAGTGTTCTTATTGGGGCAAATGTTTGGCATACGGAACCAGACAAGCCATCATTGTGTAGAACTGCTCTGACATTGCAGGACATTGAGCATCCAAACCCCCACAGCAGCAAAAGGCCAGGAACACCTCCATCATCATGATTACGAAATCATGGACCCACACATTTCCAAACAACCTCTGTAGGGGTTACTACCCCTGTTGAGAAATGCTCTTCTACTGGGGCCTTTTTATTTTGTTTAAATTAAGAAATAATTTAGTTCATTAATAAACAGTAAGAATGTCTTCCTGCCTTTGAGAGTATTCAAGGATGATAGACATTGGGTCTAATGGCAGGAAGAATGGAAAAGAAATGTTCAGTATAGTTTGAAAGAAGAGCCCTTTCCTGATGAATACTAGCATCAGAATTCCTGATCTCACTATTTGGGGTGCAAGTCAAAAGGTAAAGCTACAACTTTGCAAGTCAAGTCAGCAGAAAGAAATTCTGGCATGAAGTTATTTCTTCAGCCAGGCTTAATGTCCATGTAAGTGATGTAGAAGGTAGCAACATAAATTCAAATAATTATGGGAAGATTTTTTAAAATCCACCCCCCATATACTGGATGCTAAAGGGGCAGAGAGACTGCATCTTCTTACTTCCTCTACCCCCACAAGAGGAAGACAGAATCACCATCAGCAGCCCAAGGCCTATTCCTGCGAGGCCAGACATGCTGCCTCCCTCCAGCCCTTTCCCCAACCCTGATACCAACCGCTCCTTCCACAGCACCCACCTCTCTGCTGGGTTTGATAATTTGCTGCAGTGGCCACACAGAACTCACAGATTATGGGGTTTATTAGGGAAGCACCAGGCTATGATTCAAGTTCAGGAACAACACTCAGTCTCTCTCAGCCCACCGTCTCTCAGCCAATAGTCTCTCTCAGTCTCTCTCCCAGCAGTGTGTGTCTCTTTCTCAGCAGTGCGTGTCTCTTAAGAGTATGTTTCTCTCAGCAGCACGTTTTTCTCAGCCAGAAGTCAGAGAGACTCCTTGTGCCTCTAGGAGGATTCCTTTTTGAGGCCAAACCAACCAATCCCAACATCAGAATTCTATACACCTGAGAGAAAGCGAACTTTCCAAAAATTACTTTGTGCTGCTCCCAACAGAAATACCCCAGGTGGATGATTTCAACAATCAGGAGCTACTCAGTTTCTCACAGCAAATTCCACCATGGAGTTTACAAAGACTTATGGCTAGAAAAGCCATATTAGGTAATTTACTACACTGCACTGGACAAAGGTCTGCTTCATCCTATGCCCACAAAAACTAAAATCATAAATAGAAAGACAACAGTTACAAAATAAAACAAAAAACTGGCATAGAATCTGTCTATGCCTGAGCTGAGAAAAGCTCTAGCTCAACATAACCCAAACCCACATCCCTCTCTGACAAAGTATTCAAATCTGAACACACTTCATGTTGTCACAGGTCATGAACATTCTACTCCTCTCCAGAACCTAACAGTTTCAGCAATGTCAGAAAGGATACAAGGCACATTACCTTTGCTGAAAGCTAGAGGGAAGGTAAGTTATGTTACCCTCGTTTTACAGATGGATGACTGAGGCACAGAGAGGTGAGAAGAAACGCTCATTGGTGGAAGCCACTGGGCCTCAAATCCAGATATTCTGCTTTCCAAAATAGTACCCCAAAATTACAGATATGAATTAATAAAATGGCTGATGTGTCCTGCTGAGGAATCCTCAGAGATGAAAGCTCCCGAGATCTCTACTCATTTTAATCTCTCCTTAATTTGAGTCTAATCTGGATATGTTAAATTGCTGTCAACAGCAGAAGAAAAACCTGTTCAGAAGGACATATGTATCCGTTTACCAACTCTTTTTGGAAACTTCATCTTTTTGAAACAACTATATTAAATGGATGTGGGGCTAAAGTTAGACCAAATCTTCCCGTCAGGATAGGCTTCTTAGAATCCTTAGGTAAAGTGAATGTGAAACTCTGCATTAGGCTCACAAACATCAGGAATAATTCCATCTTTGCCAGTTGCTCTCCCATACACACCCGCTTCCCTAAAAAGGAGAGTACAAAAGAGAATTATAATATTATGCCTTTTTCTATCTCAAAAGTAAAAATATTATATGAAATATCTAAATTTGAATGTTTAAATGCAGATATAAAGAGTTTTAAAATAAAAGTGCTATATATACCACACGGCCTCCCATAATATATGTTCATCAAAATTTTAAAATAAGTTCACATTTTTACTCCTACTCATGAAAACCCAGTCTCATCCCAGACAGGACCTAGATACCAGACTCAATGCAGCAGGCTACCCTCTTTCCCCTATGCCTTTTCTTTGCTCTTAACTGGAAGATTAAAGGGGAAAAAGACAGATAAGAATCTCTGCAGCTTTCCTTTTCCAGAGGAAAAAATCTCAGAGATTCTAATGTAGGAGGCTAAAAGAGAAACTGGTGAGATTAGAGAACCCACCCTCTTACCCTCCAGCCCAGCAAAAAGTCAGAAGTAACTCTTCAACAGTTGTCTGGCACCCAATCACCTGGGCAACCCAGTAAGATTTCTAGTAATGTCTAAAAATTTAAAAGCAATTGCTCTTGTTTCTAAAATCTGAAATGAACACAGTGAAGACACATTATCTAAATTATTTATTCCTTAAATTAGTTTGCCAAGAAAGAAGCATTTTTAAAACATAAAATAATAAAAGTTTTTTTTTTTTTTTTTTTAGTTCTACTGTTTTATTTATATTGCTTTTTAAAAAAAGTTTAACTTACCTATCCCAAAAGGAATAAAGGTTTCTTTTTTGATAAGCTGTCCTTGCTCATCCAGAAATCGATTAGGATAGAAGTCATCTGGTTTCTCCCAGATGGCTGGGTCTCTGTGTACTGACCACAAGTTGGGTATGACCACTGTGCCTTTAGGGATGGTATACCCTTGAAGCACTGAAACAAACAAACAAAACCACAGTGCCAATCAACATAATTTTAAGACCCACTGCTTTTGAGTCAGATCCGATTCATAGTGACCCCCCCTTGGGTTTCCAAGGCAGTATCACTACAGAAGTAGATTGCCCAACTTTCCTTCTGAGGAGTGGCTAGTGGATTTCAATCTACAGCCTTCTGATTAGCAGTCAAGTGCCTTAGGTACCAAGCCACCAGAGCTCCTAACATCATTTTAGTTCTCCCTAAACCAAAACCAAACCCACTGTCGATTGTGACTCATAGTATAGTTCTCCCTAACCATCATTTTCTCAAAGAAAGAAAAAAAAAATCTACTTACATACCTAGTATCTTAATTCACAGAGGGGAAACACTGAGGTTCTAGAGGACAGGGGCAAGGTTTTATCAACTGACATCCTACTTGTTACACCTTCTCAGTACCCAGCCTGAGACAGAGCATAGGAGGTGCTTGCCATGGTATCACTAGGGTTGATGTTATCCTAGTGCAGGAATTCATGGTATCACACTCATCCCCCCACCCCACCCCACCCCCTGCAGCTGGCTGGGCTGGGTGACAAACCACCACCTGCAGTGCAGAATGGCCTGGCCACCCATTCCTGTGCACAGCCATGTGCTGAGCTTCTCCTCTAGCTCTCCTGGCCCCATCGCCTCCCCCACTCAACTTCCCCACCCTGTGGCTCCCTGTAGCTTCTCCCCTCTCCTACTGGCCAAGATGGAGACCCTCTTCTCCACCCAATGGCAGGTGCTGTAGGTGTGGGTCACCGCTTTCCCCACTCCCCCCAATACCTTACCCCTGCCTAGTGATGCCACTGGGTGCCCAGATGATGTTGAATTAAATCAAACCAAGACAACATTACAATAAAGAGAAAACACTGAGACAGAAATAGTAAGGTATTCCAGGAAAACTTTCCTTAATAATTCAATAATCTTTTATAATTTACAGAATTTTTTATGTCCACAAACAATATGGTGAGGAAGGTAAACTAAGGTAAAAGAATGTTCAGAGAAATCAACACTGCTCACTGGCTCTTAACAGCTAGCAAGTTAACAGTGACCAACGCACTGTACACACAGTGTATGTAATGTGCACCTGAGTAACTGCTATGTGACCCAATGCCATTTACAAAGGACTGTTTAAGATAATGTTCACGCAACAATGTAAGAGGAGGTAGAATCCTGGTTACTAAGGATACTTAATGAGAGTCTGGGTAGCTAGCTATATGTCAAGGACATGAGTAAATGGACATATTTCACTGTAACTGAGAGTGGAACACATCACCATGGAATCAGATGGGATCTTCTAATTATATAATTCTTATGTCTCTGTTGACAAATTGTGAAAATTGATGTAGGAAAATTTCCAGGTACAATTTTTAATTTCACATTTAAACCAGCTCTTCAGACTCCCAAACAGAGGACTGAGTAGCATCTTTGTTAATTCCAGAGTTGTTTCTGCCAACACAGCCAACTTAAAATACAGCATAATTTATTTTGCCAGTGTGCTCTAAAGACTGGGAGAGCTATTTATAAGACAAAGTGATGCCGAAATGCCTGTACAACTCATAATGGACAACTGAGGGCTGAAATATTCCTTTGCTGTCCATTTGCTTCTCCAAAACACAACCCTAAACTCTCAGAAGAATCAAGCTAGGCAACAGTCACTCCTTACCTCCATTGGATTAGGGGGCTGTGCTTCCCTCAAGGGCAATTCAGAGGACAAAGAACTTAGACTTACCTGTTTTCTCTGAAGTCATATGAGGAATGGCTAGTGGCACCACCACAGCCAGTCTTTGCACCTCCATGATGGTGGCCTCAGTATAGGGCATCTGGACCTTGTCAGTGAGTGAAGGGGCTCGGTCGGGGCCAATGACCCTTTCAATTTCTTCGTGAACTTTTTCTATACAAGAAAGGAAAGAATAAGACAGAAGAGAAGCCCAGATGAGAGTTGATACCGCAGTCTTCTGCACACTTCCCATTACTATTTACACGATACTGGTAAAATTAACAGTATCTGTCTGATTCACCTTCAGTGAAGTGAAACATTGTTCAGATACCCCAAGAAGAGACAGCTAGCCTCAGGGATCATATTCCACTATGTGATTTTGTAGGAGAATAATATAATAGAAAGAGAGACAAGGAAGAAAGCATTCTAGATTCAAAAGCACCCTGAATCATTCTTTCATATGAATATTGATTGACTCTAAACTGGCTGCCATAATGTGCCACAGCCCAGATGGCCTTCAAAGATTCTTGCATTTTGGTGTTTAATTCTTGTAGTCCCTTCTCACTTTGTATTAGTTTGATCTATGTGACAAACAGAACAAGGCAGAAGTGATCGTATGTTACTTTGAGGTTCGAGTATAAAAGACACTGGAATGTGTTTGATAATAAATGTTTACCAGTACATGAGATAACAAATGTTTGTTGTTTTAAAAGAAGAAATTTTGAGATAACTTGTTACTCAGCAAGAGGTAAATAATACAGGTAGGCACAATGCTATCTATGGCAGGAAGAATAATGACTCCGTAAAGCTGTACAAGGAGCTCTGGTAGTACAGTGCCTAAAGCATTTGCCTGCTAACTAGAAGGTTGGCAGTTCCAACCCACCAGCTGCTCCATGGAAGGAAGATGAAGCAATTTACTTCTGTAAATATTTACCACCTTGGAAACCCAATGGGGGTCACTATGAGTTGGAATTGACTCAATGGCAGTGGGTTTTTGTTTTTTCTTTGAAAGATAAATACACCTTAAACCTCTTATATGGCCAAAGAGACATTGCTGTTGTTATGTGCTGTTGAGTCAGACCCAACTCATAGCGACCCCTCCTTGGGTTTCCAAGGCAATATCACTATGGAAGTAGATTGCCCCATCTTCCTTCCGAGGAGTGGCTGGTGGGTTTGAACCTCCAGCCTTCTGGTTAGCAGTCAGGTGCCTTAGGCACTATGCAAAGAGACATTGCAGTTGTGTTAAATTAAGGACCAGGAGATGGAGAGATTACCTGGATGATCTGGGTGGGCCCAATCTAATCACATGGGTTTTTAAAATCAGAAAATCTTTCCAGTAGGTTCAGAATCAGAGAGAAATGTGACTACAGAATTATCTGAGAAATACAACATTTCTGGCTTTGAAGATTGAGGATGAGGGCCATGAACTAAAGAACGTGGGTGATCTCTAGAAGCTAGAAATAGCGAGGAAATGGATTTTCCCCTACAGTCTCCAGAAAGGAACACAGCCCTGCTAACATCTTGATTTCAGCCCAGTGAGACATGTATCAGACTTTTAACCTATCAATCTGTAAGAAAATAAATTCATGTTATTTTAAGCCATTAAATTTGTGATAATTTGTTACAGGGGCAATGGAAAACTAATATATCATCCAGGTTTGTACTCAGCCACTATGAACTGCCATCAGCATTCATTACATACTGGTGTTGAAATGACTATGTCATTATGTGACTCTGTGAAAGTCATATAATTTATCTGGGTCTCTATTCTCCATTTTAAAACCAAAATGAATGGATTCGTATGATCATCATGATTCACTTCAACTCTAAAATTTCCTTGTCTAAAGTTCTTTCTCCATCATAGATGTCACAGAGAATCAGCCTGGTAGATATTTAAAACAAGGCAAGCAAGTTATGATGCTAGCTGCAGTGTCTAGAAATTTGGGGTTTCACTATTAATGCCTTACCACTCCTTATGATATGCAAGTATTTCCATTTGATTTTCTAGCCTGAAAACACTGCTTAGTGTTAAGCACCAAGGAAAACTTATGTTGCTGATCCTGAATCTGGTTTTACCATGAATGAAGGAAACAAATTTTACCTTGTACATCAGGGTTCAGCGCCATATACAGAAGGCACCAAAGCAAAGAATTAGTTGTAGTATCAGTCCCAGCAATGAAGAGATCCCCAATAATATAAAACAAGTAATCTTCATTAAAACTACTACTGCTATTACTTTTCCTTTCCTCTTCCATGTGGAGAAGGTACATGTCTATGAAGTCCTGAGGGTTTTCTACATCCAGAGACTCTCGATGATCTTGGATGATTTTTTTAAGGAAACTGGTTATATCTTTTTCAATTAGTCTTAATTCCTTAAATGGTCCAAAAGGAAGGTAATAAAGCCAGGAACATATGTTGATCAGGAGGACTTGGCTGTTCAGAGAGATTTCTAATCCTCGCGACATAAAATGAAGCATCTTCTTAAACTCACTATTGGTGTAGTCAAAACGCTGGCCAAAACATAAGGAGCAAATGATGTTAGAGATGGCATTATTGACAATAGAGAAAGGACTGAAGGGGTGTTCTCCATGCTTTTGCATTTCCTCTTTCACATATTTGAACTCCTCAATAATCTTGGGCTCCAGGCTAAGCTTTCCCAAGCCAAAATGACGAAGAGTTGAATGAGAGAATTTCCTCTGTTGTCTCCAGACTGTACCATAATGTGCAAATACAATCCCTGCAAAAAGACACCAAGAATGGAAGGTGAGAGAGAGCAATACTGAACAGAATCTACGATGAAATGTATTCTGGGTTTCTCAAGGTACTTGTTCATATACAGAATCACAGATAAAGAACACTTTCAAAGACATGTTTCATTCAATCAGTATTTCTGAATACCTACTACGTGCTAGGCACTGGGTGCTGCGGATACAGCCGAGAATGAAAAAAAGAACTGCTCCGTGGTTAATCTCCTCAAAATCTTTAACAGGCTATAAATGCTTCTCAATATGAATATCCATGTGCTCAAATGTATCAGATAATATATTAGGTCCATTTTCTACCCTGTACCCTCCACATTTCTGTTCAAATCTACACTGGTTATTCTCTAGGTCTACTGTGCAGGTATTGTCTTGTGAACTGTATTTGTAATCATTTAGGAATTTTCTTTTACTCTCTCCTGTGTTGAAACCCTTGTTTCCTGGATCTTATGTCTTCCTCTTTCTTGCTTTACTCCTTCATTTTGCTAAAATAAATCCTGTAGTAGCTTCCTGAGAAAAGATGCATGGGAGGTAAATTTCTTAAGATTTTGCATGCCTGAAAATCTATTTATTCTATCTTTGCATTTGATGCTTTTTCCTCAGAATTTTAAAACAAATTTATTAACTTATTTTTAAATTTTATTAACTTTGTTGTTAGAAATATACGCAGCAAAACATACACCAATTCCACAGTGTCTACACATACAATTCAGTCACATTCTTCCAGTTACGCAAATATTCTCACCCTCCTTTTCTGAGTTGTTCTTTCCCCATTACCATACACTCAATGGTCTGCTAAGGTCCTTATCTACTTGTCTGAATTGCTGTTTTCAATTTGATAGACCGATCTAAAAAAAGGCATAATCCTCAAGGCAGAATTTTTTTACTAGTTAATTTAAACTACTGTCTGGTTTTTGAAGAGTTTTACCAACTTCTGCAGTCTGAGATTAACCGAATATGCATTCAAGATATATTGATTATCACTGGTGATTGGAATGAGAAAGTTGGGAACAAAGAATGACTGGTAGTTTGAAAATATGGCCTTGGTGATAGAAATGACACCGGAGATCTCATGACAGAACTTTGCAAAACCAATGACTTATTCATTGCAAATATCTTTTTTTGAACAACATAAATGGCAGCTATACACATGGACCTCATCAGATGGAATACACAGGAATTAGATCAACTACATTGATGGAGAAAAGCAATGGAGAAGCTCAATATCTTCAGCCAAAACAAAGCCAGGAGCTGACTCTGGAACAGACCATCAATTGCTTGCATGAAAGTTCAAGATGAAATTGAAGAAAATAAAAACAAGTTAAAGAGAGCCAAATTATGACGTTGATTATATACCACCTTAATTTAGACCATCTGAAAAATAGGTTTCATGCACTGAAAATCAATGACTGAAAACCAGAGGAATTGTGGGATGACATCAAGAACATCAACCATAAAGAAAGCAAAAGGTCATCAGAAAGACAGGAAAAGAAGAAAAGACCAAAATGGATGTTATAAGAGACTCCAAAACTTGCTCTTGAATGAAGAATAGCTAAAGCAAATGGAAAAAATGACAAGATAAAAGAGCTGAACGGAAGATTTCAAAGAGCAGCTCGAGAAGGTGAAGTCAATTGTTATAATGAAAAATGACCTGGAATTAGAAAACCAAAAAGGAAGAACATGTTTGGCATTTCTCAAGTTGAAAGAACCAAAGGAAAAATTCAAGCCTTGAATTGCAATATTGAAAGATTCTACAGGCAATATACTGAATGATGCAGGAAACATCAAAAGAAGATGGAAGGAATAACAGAGTTCTGTACCAAAAAGAATTGGTTGATGTTCATCCATTTCAGGATGTGGCATATGATCAAGAACCAATGGTATTGAAGGAGAAAGTAGAAGTTGCACTGAAAGAATTGGCGAAAAACAAGGCTCCAAGCTACCCAGAGGGACTGAGTAGTTGATCCCGCGGGCTTGGGACCACAGTCGCAGGGGACATCAAGCTCAATTGGCATAACATACTGTGATAGTTGAAGATCTGTCAACTTGGCTGGACTTCACTTGTGAGTGTTGTTTCTCATGATGGATCACATGACTATGTCCTAAGCGGCCGGTCAGTCTAGGGGGAGTTTCCCCAGGGGTGTGGCCTACCTGTAATACTATCCAAGGAACAAACTGGAAAAAAAACAGCATTCCA